TTCTATACCAGAAGTCGCATCCAGCAAAACAACTGCGCCATTCATGATTGAAAGGGCACGTTCAGCTTCAAACACAAAATCTGCATGACCCGGCGTATCGACGAAATTGACTCTGTGGCCATTCCACATGAACCAAATTGCCGCTGATTTAATTGTGATTCCCCTCTCCCTCTCCATTGGAAGATAATCCATGACTGCGGAGCCCTTATCGACCTCTAACGTATTATAAAATGGAATTATTAACCAAGACTTATGTACCACCCAAACGATGTGTACAACCACTATAAAAAAGCATTCTCTCTACTGTTGTTGTCTTTCCCTGTATCTTTTCAATTCCTGGTGAATCTAGTCAAGAACATACTGCGTCCACGTGCGCCAAAATGCCGATATTGCGAATCTTGGGGATTGTGGAGTATTTGCGGCCTCTCTTACGAAGATCCGTCCCTAAAGAGGGCCTGCATGGGCCCTTATAAGCAAGGAACCTGAGTGATGATAAAATATTGATCATCAAGGCTAATTTGCCCAAAAATTCATCAAATTTTCCCGGAAAAAAGTGCCAGACCTTAATAGCAGCCTTAAATATGCCAGAAAAGCGCGGAAATCCTGCTTAAATACAGTAATTGGCCCTCCAATAAGGCATCAAATCGGCCAGAGATTTTAACATTTTTTGGACGTCGACAGAGACCTCGTGGATCAACGTCAGAAAAAAAGCTGTGACCCAAGGACTGATAAAAGTCGAGTATTTCTGCCGGATTTCCGCTGAATCCAAGGAGGGACTTAGTATTTTCTGTAGAAGATTATAGACGTTGCTTTTGAACGACTTTTTTTGACGCAATAACGGATAATAAAGAGGAGTTAGAACACAACGGCTCGGGAATACCTGCCCAGCCGGAGAATCTCTATTTTTATGCGGTAATAAGGGATGTAGAGCGGTCTGGCAAGTCTCCTGTCGTTCGGTTCAATGTTGATGTATGGAGTTTGGCAAAAAAAAGAGATTTGTGACACTATTTAGACAAATATTGAGCACTTTCGTTCTTCCCAGTTTACAGACGTGCGGCGCACGTATGAGGAGTTTGCTAAGCTTTGGAAACACCTTACTATCTCCAATCCAGAGTGTCTGGTTCCTCCATTGCCTCCGAGTATCACATCGGCTGGGCTAGGCTTGGAAGAAGAAACGAAATATCTCCATATTCGTATGCAGAAATGGTTTGATTTGATCAGCGAAAGTCCTCTCCTTATACAGGACAAAGAACTCGTTTATTTTACCGAGGGTCATTTTGGGGTTGGTTATATTATTACATGAATTTGTATTTTTAATGTACAGTATTCGCCTGTTATACCCAAGAACAAGCATGGATCTGTGCTGAAAAGGAAAGCAATCAAAATGCAGGCTGCTCCTCCGGATGACACTCCCGAACTTTGTAATTTGAGACCAGTCATCAAACAATTTTACCGGCAAACATCTGAATCTTCTGCAAAACTTGAAAAAGTTATTAAAACTCTTCGAGGTTGTCATCTATCTTGTAAATTTATCCAAATAGTAATATTTGTCAGTTCTTAGTTCTTCAGAGGATGAATTAGGGCTTAAATTTATTACAATAGCAGACATGGAGCAACATTCTGGGATGTCTAACGCTTTTCGAAAACTTGGGAAAACTGTTCAAAGCATCAGTCATTCGCGTTTGAATCAAGCAAATATAAAAGCTGTTATTTTTATTGATACTTTATCATATATATCCTCGGATGCATTTGTAGTAGAAGTATAGTCTTTCTTAATATTTATATAGTTTTAATCATTTTCAGGAAACTTTAATGAATCGTCAGATCCTTATTAAAGAACTATTATCTGCACAAACATCTTCTCGTTCTAAAATATCTGCTATTACACGTTTAAAGTCGTCAAACTCAAAACCTGAGAAAGTTGACGAAGTTTTGGCCTCTCTTGAAAAAACTCGTTCACATGAACAAAATTTGAACATAAAACTTACTCGGATCACTACAAACCTTCTTCAAGAAGGACGTAAATGGATAAAAAGAACATCAAATGATATTATGTTATCTTTGAAAGAGTATACAAAACGTCAAATAGAATGCGAAAGACGCATGTTGGCCATTTTAGAGTCATCAAGGCCTGATATTAGAAATGTAGATCATACTGGTGGTCTTTCAAGATTGGGGAGGGAATTTTCACGATTGAAAAATAGAAATGATATTAATTCAAGCCAAACAGCTCAAGGAGATGCATGGTCTGGTATTCAGAGACAAAAAAATCATATAAAAGAATATGACTCGAAATTTTTGAAGAGAATAGATGATGTCTTAGATGCACGTAGTGCCTTTGAAACTCTTGGAACAAAAGTTAATTAGATTTCTTTTTTAATAAATTACATTTATAATCATATTGAAGATATTAAACAATATTTAGGGAAAATATCTATGTTTATAATATTTTATGCATTATACTTTTATTTATTTTTAAATTTTTAATTTATATAAAGAACTATGTTCTAATAAATATTGAAAATCTAAGTATAAATAACTTTTAATATCTTCTATATGAATTTCCAAAAATCACATGAAGTGTTTGATGAAAATTCTACATATGAATTAGTATGGATTTCATAAAATGAAAGCTAATTTTGAAATTTTGCATGAATTGCTATAGTTATAATGTTAATATTGGAAAATCATATATATAGCAAGCTTGAATATTATTTGTTGTAATAACCTACAAAATTTTAACTCAATTGAAAATTAGCATCATGAATAATTTGTATCTAAACAAAAATCCCTTATGATTTCTTTTAAAATATGAACAATTCTTATCTATATATGACCTGCCAATGCTTAAAATAATATTATAATATATAATTTTATGACCATGTTTCTTGTAAATATCGACCTTCTTTTTCCATTGTTGAGAGCCAAGTCTTAGATTGTTCATCAGAAAGGTTTCCTTCTTTCATTAAAATATTAAGAAATGATTGTCTAACTGCCTCTGGCATAAAACGAGAGTTTCTAAATATTTATTTAATTTAGATTTTCTTTTTTAAAAAAAAATACCCTGATAAATATAAAATCCCCAATTTATTATATAAATAATCATATAAAATTTCAGAATGCTCTTCCATAACATGCTGAACATATCTTTTTTCGCTCTATTTTTATTAGGCTCCAATATAATCTAAAAAAAATACCTGATCTCTTGAAAATGCTGTAAATAAGATTAAATAATTGTCGCCACAATATTTCATCCATTCATCTTTGAATAAAAAATCTTTATATTGTGAACGGCATCCAAAAAATAGTATATTATCTTTATGCAATTAATAATAATAATAATAATAATAAAATTTTTAACTTCTGCATCCATCAAAAATACGTTCTTGAATCAATGAACGCAATGGTGAAACACCTGTTCCTGGTCCTATCATAACAATAGGAATTGAAGGAAATTTAGGCTTTTTTAAAGTTCCTGAAGATATGCTAATCTCAATTTCAATGCCTAAAAGTTAATATAATTCATTCGTGTGCCATAATTATACCTTCTGAAAGGAAAGAAATCCATCTCGTACAGAGACCATATCTGAAACTTCTCAAAATTGTCTTATATTTAACAATTGCTACACATAAATGAATTTGTCCAGGATTAGCCTAAAAAATATGATACAATTATAAATATAATTATTTAATATACCTTTAAGCTACTAGCAATAGAGAATTTCCTGCCAGATATAATAGGAAAAACATCAAATATATAATCTAATGGAATATTTAAAGGAGAAAAATCTTGAATAACCTCTAAAATAGTTCTTCTTGGACGATTAACATAATCATATAAATCTTCCTGACCCTCAATGCTGCAAAAATGACGAAATTTATCAACAAAATCCTTATTATCTGTAAAATGTGCCAAAAATTCAAAGAATGAACGCCTAGGAACTGATAAAATATCTAATATGTTTGTAAAAAGAAACCGTAGTGTAGCTTCTAATGGAATTAATGATTTTTTATACATCCTTTTTGAAGATATATGTAAAGGAACATCTGCAATTTCCAACCAATTCATACATTCTAGAAAAATGTCCACCTCTTTAGAAGGATTAGATGGATATAAAATAATATTATCGCCAGGATAATAAGTTACAGAATTATCATGAATATTCAATATCACATGTCTTACATCTTGCCAATGATCTTGAGATGTTATACGTAGATTTTGGGAAACTGTTACTTTAATGACATTTGCTCTATGAATCGTATAAGTAGTAGATGATACTTTTGACTTGTTCAAGTTCACAAAAAATGATGACGACAAAAGCGAGGTTTTTGGATACATATCACAACCTTTTGGGATTGGATATTTTTCTAATATAATCTTCCAAAATTCTTCTGACCATGGAATTAAAGCACCATCAATTCTTTTCATTCATTAATATGACATTTTAATTAGATAAAAAATGTAACCCCTGCTCATGCTGCTCATCTGCTTCCCCACGTCTATAAATTGATTGTGCGCCAAGTTGAAGCAAACGTCTATATAGCTTTTTAGATGACCAGTTATATCTTTTAAAAAAATAAATATTATGATAATAAAATTGTTCCAATTACTTAGGATAGAGTGTACTGCCAATGCCAAATACTGTAAATTCCATATTTTCAAGAAAGTCTCCTGGCAAATCTTTTCTAAGTAAAAATCTCCATAAAGGCTTGATATTATCAGGCATTTCACCCTGCCCTGTTGTTGAACACACAAAAACAACCAATCTTGCTTCAATAAGATCTACCAAATATAAACCCCATGTCCACATAGTCCTTTGACAACCTTTAACTGAAAGGTCTTCTCCTGAACATATATATGTATCAAATAAACGCCTTCTTGCCTCTCTTTCAAGATATTCAGCGACGTCTTGGGCGGACCCTGTCTGACTCCCATAAATAAGCCAGAGATGCCGCTTGACACTCATCTAGAGTGGGTGTATATTATTTTACAAAAATAGTGCCCCCACTGCGAGTCGAACACAGGACCTTCTCATCACACAGCGATCTACGAGTGAGATGTTATAGCCACTAAACTATAAGGGCGTCCGGCAGTTCTTTATATAAAGGAAATATAAACTGAATATCAATTGATAGCTATAAGAGAAATATGTACTGAATGAGAAGAAATAATGCACAAATAGATGTAGATCAGGCAAGGGAGACGCCGTCAGGGCGTTCAGGAATCTCTAAAGACTTGGAAATAGAAATGCGGAATGCAGGAGCAGAGTTAATCAGACAGGCATCAATTTTTCTTGGATTGTAACTAGAAAAAATGGATAAAAACAATGAAATGATAATGCTATAGACATATAACATGCTTTGGTACAGCTCAAGTACTTTTTCAGCGGTTTTATTATAGTGAATCTCTTAGAAAATTTTCAATTAAAGAAATAGCTATGGGAGCAGTCTTTATAGCTTCTAAGATTACAGAATATCCAGTCAAGATAAAGGATATTGTAAGGGTATTTTCAGAGTTATTTGACTATAGGGATGGGAGACCCTTGAGGGCCTTTAAATATTTTGAAGAAGTAATAATTATATAAGAATGATATGATTTTGTAATTTGGTAGTTTTATTATAGGACTAGGGATCAGATTTTAATAGCGGAAGTTACCATATTATCGTCTTTGGGGTTCGATACATATGTCGAACTTCCTTATAGATTGGCTATTCATTATCTGCAAATATTGGATTTAATAAATAATGAAATAATTTTACAGAAAGTATGGTCTTATGTTAACGATGCTTTATGTACAAGGGTTTCATGTATACAAAGTGCACCCTCTATTGCTATAGGGTGTATTTTTATTGCGGCTAGAGAAGAGAAGATTAAACTTCCATGTGCATGGTGGGAAATTTTTGATGTATTCATAGAAGATGTCAAATATATAGCAGCAAGTATAAAATCGTTTTATATAGAGGAGGATGAAAGGAAAAGGAGGGAGAGAGATGGCAATTTAACTCCAATTGATTTAGAGGAGTTGGAGAAATATTTGAGTCGAGAATAATAAATGTATATTTTATATATAAAAAAATATTATATATATTTTTTGGTACTTTTAAAGAAATTTATTATATGAGTTTTCGTTTTAATAATGATGAAGTCTAATCTTTAGATTTATTAGAATTGTTTCGTATAATTTTGTGTTTGTAGAATAACTAAGTTTAAATTAGTTTTATTAAAGTTTATAATATAATACGAACATCCTTCATAACACCAAAAGACTTTGTTATTAGTGAGAGATGATTTATAAGAAGAGCGTAATTATATTCTGTTTGAAGGTCTTGAAAATCGTTATTTTGAGTAGTTGGAAAATGACTACATAAAGATGCTATTTGACGCAAAAGATTTGGATCACCAGAAACAATTCCTTCAAAAATAAAATACTTTGTCCTAATAATATAAAGAAAACATACCCGTTTTGACATCTATTAGATATTTTTTTAGAATTTCAATACGCTGTTGTAAAACCTTAATTACATTTATTTGTATTAACAAATCTGCAATTACTATATATAATTAAAATGGAATTAATTAAAAATAATTTGTATACTCTCCGATTCTCTGTTATTGATTTTATTTTCAGTGTCTCCTGCAATTTTAGACATATAATCTATAATAACAGCTTCTGCTTCTCCAATATTTAGTTGATAATCTTCTTCAATAAAGATATCTTTAGCCCTATAGTTTTCAGAAGATAATAAAGACTCCTCAAGACAAAATTTATATATTTTAATTGGCAATTTTGTATTTATTTTTGAAGATGCCAGTGAAATGATATCTATAAGTAAAAGAAGAGCATTTTGATTATATTTTAGCAACTTTTAAAGTCAAAAAAAGAGACGAAGAGTTGAAATGAACCTGTCTGTGTATTTTTGCTTCTATTTTCCCTGGAAGACTGCCAAAAAAGAACCAACCTATAAAATTATAATTTGTAAAAACTGCCTTTACTGATAATATTAATATATGAAAATAAAATCTAATTGCATACGTTGTTCTAAACGTAGCTGGAAATATGTTTCATCCACTTTAAGCATACTTTTACTCTTAATAAGTCTAATTTCCAAGGCATTTTCAATCATAATCTTATCATCATCTTGATTGCCGAAGAGAGCTCCAGCAACTATATAATAAAGATTATTTAAAAAATATGTATAATTCTACTACTTGGATGTACTAATGACCCATTTACTTGAGATCTATGTTTCATATAATAATCTGAAATAATCAATAGTACTAAAGGATGTCTTATAAAATAAATATATAATATTACAAGATAAGAGCCTACAATGAAACAATTGTATTTGGAAGTTCCTCATCTTCTAAAGTTCTTTCACTTGGGTTATTTATAGATAAGTTTGAATACATTTTTTAAAGAATTTTAAGAAATTTTACTTTTTTATTTAAAATAAATATATTAGCAGCTTAATCAAGGAAAATCAATTAATTAATACAATTAATATCTATGAAATACATTCTATCTTGTTATTTATACATATTATTTTACAACTCCATATAATTTATGTGCTTTTTCAAAGCAGCTTAAAAGATATAAAAGATAGTTTATAGATGATTATATTAGAAATATGATGAGATAACTAGTTATTTCACAGAATATCCAATATATTTAAATAAAATACACTCAAACATAGATAAAATATGGTTTTGATAAGATCTTGTTGAAAAATAAAACTTTAAGTTTTTATAAAATAATTAAAAGATCTTTTTAATAATTAAGAATTGTCAAGATTTAAGTAAGGCGGTGTCTTTTTGAAGCATCTTGAATAGTGCTATATAAAGAGCTGATCTTGGCTCGGCCAGCAACCTCAAAAAATTAGAAATCTTCAAATATAGGCCAATTGGCCTGAAATTCCTAAGAAATAGTATGAATATAGCTCCCCGTCCACTAAGACCACTGTTAGGTCATTCATCATTGATTTTATCCGGCTTTTTTCCAAGGCATATTGATAAAAAACTCAAGAAATAAACTAAGAAATAATAGATATATGAATGTTATTCAGAGACATGCTTTATATACGAATAGGTGTTGCTATTCATCAGCGGCTTCAGATATCTTTGATCAGACGCTCAATAAAGCACCAGAAACTAAGAAAGATACGGTTCGTTTAATAATAAACGATATGAAACTCAAGCGTCTAAAGAACATATCATAGATCATTTATAAATCGCCATCTATTAAGACGTCATTAAAAAAACTCACGAAAATATCTAGACAAATTGCAGGGAAAAAACTAGAAGATGCCATTATACAAATGGATTTTAGTAAAAAAAAAGCAGCAAGAGATGTTGCTAAAACATTAAGGAATGCACGTACAAGAGCTATCAATAGCAAGTTAGATAAAGACACATTATTTATTGATCAATCATGGGTTGGAAAAGGTATTTATATTAAGCAATTATGGTTTAAAGGAAGAGGAAGAATGTCAATACGAAAAAGGCCACGAACACACATAAAAGTAATGATTAAAGACATTAAAACATTAAAACAACGAGAAATACAGGAAAAAAAAAGAAAAGAATGTAAACCTGTATGGGTACCTCTTCCAAACAAACAAATTTATAATAAAGCTATTGGATTTACATGTTAGTACACAATATATTTAAGTGGTTATGTAGTATTATTTTTCTAAAACATGGTAACAAAATCCTTCACTAAATGAACTTAGTTGTTTAAAAACTTTTTCAAAATCTTCTATTTCTCCCTAGATTAAATTTAATTAATATATATATATATATTATCTCTTTACATAATAAGGATCATATACAATTCTTCCTTCATTTTTCATTCCATAATCTCCAAATAGTTTTACTAGTATATATTAAAAAGCAAAAAAATATAGTATATACTTTTTGCATGGCAATTTTTAGGACGTTTATAATTAACATCGTCTAAGTTTGAGGTATCCATCACAAGAATATAATCAAAGTTCCCGAAATCATTTTTACATAATTGTCTAGCTTGATGATCAAATTTTATTCCATGTTTTTTTAATACTGAAAGAGTTCTAGAGTCAGGTCTTGAACCAATATGATATGCTATACATGAAAAATGTCAAATGACATAATAAATATATAAATATAAAACCAGAAGTCCCACAGCTATCAATTAAACCAAATTTATCTTGCAGATTATGTTTTGTAATATAATCTTGAAAAACACCTTATAAAGGTAAATTAAGATAGAAATAACAAAAAAGATCAACCTTGAGCCATTGGGCTGCGACAAATATTTCCAAGACATACAAAAAGTACATTTATTTTATTAGAATAGTTACTCATTGATTGGAAAAATCTTTAATTTTTATAAAAATAGTTTTCGTAATATATTTAAAATATATTAAATGTCAAAATATATATTTAAAATAATCCTTCGACCTGATGAGTTTCTGAGTTAATATCGATATCGTAATATGCCGGTCGAGTTGGAAGTCCAGGAATCGTTGTAATTTCTGCAAGTAACGGCACTACAAAACCGGCCCCTGCGTTCAAACGAATGTCTCTTACAGGAATTACAAAACCTGTAGGCGCACCTTTTAATTTTGGATTATGCGAAAATGAATATTGAGTTTTAGCAATACAAACAGGAAGACTTCCAAATCCCTAGAAATTTTAATAAGAAATCGAGTATAAAAAGAAAATACTTTTTCAGTATACTGCTTTATCTTTTTCTTTGAAAGTTCGCTTAGCTCAATACCGTCTGCGCCATATATTTCTTTGGCAATTATTTCAATTTTTTCTATAATAGAAGTATTTGAATCATATAAAAGCTTGAAATTTTTAGGGACTTTCTGGCAAGCATATTGAACAGCATTTGCAAGTTCAATTGAACCTGCTCCGCCTAATGCCCATTGGTTACTAACTACAGCATCTACTGCACCTGCTTTTAAGGCTTCTTCTCGGATAATACTGATTTCTGATGGAGTATCCATACTATTTTGTTATTTATTATAATTTAAAAATATGGACTTACTGAAATTTATTTATAGCAACTATAACTGGTAAACCATATTTTTTAGTATTT